CACTGGGCTCTCCAAGGACAGACACCTGGCTCTGTTCTTCCTCTCCCTGTTCCTCAGTTCTCAGAGCTCCGACTTTTTTCATTCACTGACTGGGCCCTTTCAAGCTGAACACACACATGTTTCAACTTTGAGAAATTGTTTTCTCTTACTGCTGTGATTACTTCCTCCCCTTTATTCTTTTTTTCCGAAGATGTTGGACCTCCTGGTTTGGTCTCTTATCTCCTGCATTTTCATGTATTTCTTTTTCTCCTTACTATTGCTTTATATTCCAGGAGATTTCCTCTACTTCATTGTCCAGCTCTTGCACTAAATTCTTTTTTTACAGGCAATAATATTTTTATTCTTTAAGAGCTCTGACTTTTCTGATTGCTGTTACTTTATGTAATATTTTCTCAACCATCTTTGAGTATTTTTCTTTTAAAGTTTTATTCTGTTTCCTAAGTCATCTTGGTTTCCTTCGGGTTTAGCTTCTCATTTGTTTGTTTGTTTATCATGGTCTTTCTCTTTCATGGCACTAGATTTCTCTGTGTTCCTTGGTTGTCCCATCTCATTTAAGAAAAGGAGATTAAAAGGCAGCTGAGTGTTCCATTGCTGCTGCATAAACCAATCTACTTCTTGGAAGAGCTCTTTCCTGAGGAGGAAATCTAATAGAGAATTATGTGTACGTGAGTAAAACATAAACTAACAGACTTCATTTAGGGAGTCAGGGTAACTCTGAGGCTGCAGACCTCACCTCTATCCACCCCCAAACAAAGAATGAAAAGGGCACCAGCACCCATAGCAAAAGCTTCAACTTTCCTCCAAAGGTTAGTTCAATTATTTGAGAGGTGAGGTCTCAGAACATATTCCTGGGAACAAATGACTCTAGGTTTCTAGTGATAGAAAGATATATCATCAGTACAAGTGCACAATCTCTTACCCACAATTCTGAAATCCAAAGATCTCTAAAAACCAGTGTGTTTTCCTAAGTTTGGGGCTTACTCATTAGGTAGCAAACCTGACCTGAACTGACAGCAACTATATGCGGTCTTTATTTACCTACTTAGTGTAAATAGCCCTAGGCTGTTCTGTAGAAATATTAGAGTTTGGTTATGAGGTGCTGTCCCAGACCTTTCTGGGCTGTTAAGTAATATATGAAATATATATTCTCCAAGACCCCATTATTTCAAAGGATTTTCTCAACACCACAAGACTGGTTGCTCAAAAAGTAAACTAAAGAAAAAACTAATTTACATTTTTAAATAGTCCTATTTTAATAGTGGTTTTGTTATTGAAGGGTTTTATTGGTTGGTTTTGGTTTTTCCATTTATACCTATGAAATTTCAAAAGAAAAAAGTCTTAGGGCTCAGTTTCGGCCAATGTACTCCATTTATACACAAATGGAAAAATTATCAGTAATCCACTAATTGATTTGTTTCATTACTTGGAGTTGATTCTACATTGAGTTTTCTTGTCCTCTTTCTGATTTCTTTTTATGCCTGGACCAGTTTTTTAAAGACCTGGTCCTATTCCTCCTGACACATATATAATGGCAAATTAACTTAAATCTACAGTGAAATACCATGGTGAAAATGAAAGTTTCATTTAGAAATGGTTCCTCACACAGAGCCATTCATATTGGCCACACATAATTCACCAGTTATCTCAGTCCGGCAGAATCATTTTTCCAGTTACATATGGAGTCATAAGGTGGAAATCAGATTAGCCTCCCTCTTAACAGAACCCAAAGCTATTAATAATAAATCCAAGAGACATAGTTTAATTAAAAAAAACTAAAAACTATTGTCAGACAGAAATCACCTAATAAAAAAATAATTTATAATGCACACCCTAATTAATAATTTACTGCCTAGGGTAAAAAAATTATCAAAAGTAATTACAATTAAAACACTATTTCTTTTTTAAGGATAACAGGATAATACTAAGAAGTTAGGATAATCTCAAGCAACAAATTCAACTGCTGCTATCACAACTTTCTGTCAAAAATTATAATTAATTTTTAATGCCTTTTTTTAAAAATACAGAGGTTCCTTTTCCTCAGTTCACAGTCCATTAAATTGGTAATTGTAACTTTACAAAAGGTAAAAACTTCTAAACATAGTCTAGTATAATTCTATCTAAGACAGATATCCACTAATTTAAAAGGATTTGGGAAACATCAACCAACTCCTTAAAGCTTGGATGAGAGATTCAAATTGGCTTAAATTAGGCCACATTGAGTTACTGACCTAGAACCAATTTATGATTAAACAAGAGACTTTAAGGAAGGAGATTAAATATGAATAGCCTCCCCCAGGCTATAAACATTGTAAGAACAGGAACTTGGAACATATTTTTTATTGTCATTTTCCCAGCATCTCACACAGTGCCTGGCAAAAATTTCACACTTAAAAATTATACATTGTTTAGGGCCAGCCCCGTGGCTTAGCGGTTAAGTGCGCGCACTCCGCTACTGGTGGCCCGGGTTCGGATCCCGGGCGCGCACCGACACACCGCTTCTCCGGCCATGCTGAGGCGACATCCCACATACAGCAACTAGAAGGGTGTGCAACTATGACATACAACTATCTACTGGGGCTTTGGGGGAAAATAAAGGAGGAGGATTGGCAATAGATGTTAGCTCAGAGCCAGTCTTCCTCAGCAAAAAGAGGAGGATTAGCATGGATGTTAGCTCAGGGCTGATCTTCCTCACCAAAAAAAATATATATATATGTATGTTGTTTGAATAAATCAAAGAATAAAGAATTACAGTAGATGCATATATCAAATCATTGTGTTATAAACCTAAAACTAATACAATGTTATATGTCAATTATATCTCAATAAAAAAAATCATCCCAATAAACAATTTTGCCAAATTAAAAAAAAAAAGAATTGCAGAAAAAATGTGTGAATATAAACAGTTGCGCTGGGTACTCCAATAAACTGCCCAGATCTCCCTTAAGGAATTAAGGACTTATTTTCCCCAACTGGGGGCAGATGTTGCTGGCTGATAGCTCTCAGTGGTCAGCCCCCTTCAAGGCTTGCATCAGCTAAAGAGTGCCACCTCACCAAAAGTCACATCCCTTTCCCATGGGTGACCTATATCCAAGGACAGATCTATGTGGTTATAAAAGGCCCAGCTGTGCCCCAACTCTGAAAGGGTGATCCTAGCTTCAGAACTCTATAGGACTGTCTGAGGACTCTGCTGAAATTACATCATAGCTCAATTTCTTTCTTCTGCCCGATTCTGCCACCTTCCATTTCCTTCAGAGGTGTTGATTCCAAGAGCATATTCTAATAAACATCTTGTATGCTAATCTCTATTTAGATGCTGCTTCTTAGGTGACCCAATGTGTGACAAGATGTACCTTTCAGTAGAAGAAAATTAAAGATTGAGAAATATAAAATATTTTTAAGAATAATTCCCTGAATCCCATCCTCCATTACCCAACTTACAACTAAATTTAGTGAGCTAGTGAGAAAAGACTAGAGAAGGAAGATTTCACTTGAGACAAGCAAGAATCACCATGGCAAGTCATTGCCAATGCCATCTTATTGGAAGCCAGTCTCTCAAAACAAATGTGGACCCAGTTTGCCTGCTTGATATCTTGGGGTAGTGGTACCCCAAAGGAGTATAGCGTGGTCATTAACAACACGGAATTAGGCATCCAACTGACCTGGATTCGAATCATTTCTCCACAACTTACTGGTTGAGTGACCTGGTTGGGAAAATAACTTAACCTTTCTAAGCCTCATAATGGAGATAAAAATACATAAAGTTGTGAAATGCTTAACAAAATACCTGGCACATAGTAGGCACTCACTAAATGGTAGGCATTCTTATTGCTTTGTTAATAATTATTACTAAGAAGGCAGAAAGATAATGCTTTTCCATTATCAATCTCACAACCTGAAAACTAAATGACTGTTATTGTTGCCAAAGGAAAAAATAATCTTCTGCACTTTGGTTATCAGCACTCAGAAATGAGAACACTGAATGTTCATTCACAAGGAAATAGAGGAAGAGGTACGGGTAGAGCCTCAAACCTGTTTGCTTCTTGAAGGACCAGTAATGGATGGAGTATTTCCTGTTTGGGGATATACTGTCAAATAGAGTACATGACCTTTGGAACACATGCTAAGCATTTATATCCACATACAAAGGGTGTGAACAGCTCATCTTCAATGAAGATCTTGTCATGAAAACTAAGTGTAGGTGACTTCTAACTTCCACCGTTGTGACAGAATAAGGAGGTCAAAAAAATCCTCTCTCCATAAAGCTGGACAAAACAGTCAAAAACAACCATCTCAGGGCCAGCCCCATGGCGCATCAGTTAAGTGCACACGCTCCGCTGCTGGTGACCCGGGTTCAGATCCCAGGCATGCACTGATGCACCGCTTGTCAGGCCATGCTGTGGCGACGTCCCATATAAAGTGAAGGAAGATGGGCACGGATGTTAGCCCAGAGCCAGTCTTCCTCAGCAAAAAAAAAGAGGAGGATAGGCATGGATGTTAGCTCAGGGCTGATCTTCCTCACAAAAAAAAAAATAAAAATCATCTCAGCACTCTGGAATTTGACCAAAGACATATAACAAACTGAGAAGCATTTATTCATGAAAACTACTAAACTTGGGGTAAGAATAGCACAAGTCTGTGAAATTTTGCCTGGGACTACAATCATTCCTTCTTTAGCTCTCAGCATAGTAGTTCAACCAGAGAGGGGCAGGATATGAAAATAACAAGCTTCATTGCTGCTGCTGCTGCTGCTACTGGAGGGAACTTACCTGATTTGGAGCATTGTCAATTAAAGAGGAGATCTGGTAGCAAGGGAGGGCCAGAGCTAGCCTGAGGTTGCTAGCCTGTTTGGGGCAAGCAATGGACTGGTGGACTAGCTAGAGTTTTAACAGAGAGTTGTTGAAAATGAGACATACATAAGGGAGGTGATAAACTATTCAAATATCGTGAGTTGATCAGAAGATATGCACATGCACAGCCACCCACACATTCCTGGTTGACAGAGATGAGTCTGGGCATATGAAGAGGAGATGCAAGAAAGCCTAGCAGAAAGTAAAAGCTGATGCAGACTTGAAAGTGACCTGACATTTGAATATACTCCCTGGCCTACACATAAATCCATCAGCAGAGTGTGGAAGCCGTACTGACTCAAGGTGTTTGAGGACAGCCTCTGACCAATAGTTGGCTGAACACTAAGCTGTGTACGCATAGAGATGATCCCTAGGAAGCCAGGCTTAAAAATAAAAACAAGAAAAAAAAAAAAAGTAGAGGCATCAGGGGCCACACATTGCAGGGGAAACAGACTTCACAGATTTAGTCCAGGTAAGTTATTAAACAAACAAACAACAACAACTCCTTCAGGGAAAAAGAATCAGAATCCTGAGTTGTTACAGCAGATTATCTAAAATGTCCAATATTCAACAAAAAAATTATGAGACCTGCAAAGAAACAAGAAACTATGACCCTTACTCAGGGGAAAAAGCAGTCAATAGAAACCATCTATGAGAGAATGCAAACCCTGGATTTAGCAGACAAAGACTTAAAAAACTTAAAAATAAGAATGTTCAAAGAACAAAAGGAAACTATGTAAAGAATTAAAGGAAAATATGATGACAATGATCCTGCAAATAAAGAATCTTAATAAAGAGATATAAATTATAAAAAGAATTAAATGGAAATTTTGGCATTGAAAAGCACAATAACTAAAATGAAAAATTCACTAGAGAGTTTCAACAGAAAATGTGATATGGCAGAAAAATGTGTGAACTTGAAGATAGATCCATAGAAATTAGCCAATCTGAAGAATAGAGAGAAAAAATATCAATAATGCAATTAATGACTAACTTCTCCTCAGACACAATGGAAGCCAAGTGACAACAGAATGACAAACACAAAGTACTTAAAATGATTGAATTGTACACTTGCAATAGCTGAGTTTTACAGTAGGTTAACTATAACTCAATGAAGCTGTTAAAAACAAAACAAAATAACCTATAAGTAAAAGACCACAGCACAGACATACTTGGAACTATTTCTGGAAGTACTCTGCCACTACCATTGCTCTCTTCTTTGTTTATTTTCCTCTCTCTTTCTCTTTATCCTCCATTACCATCTTTCTTTCTCCCGGGCCACGGCTTTTGTGGCACTTATAACCCATGGAGATTACTTAGGCCCATAAATAATACTCAAAGATAGTCTTTGAGTCACAGATATTCTGAGATGGGCCTTCTACATGTTCAAATATTTACCTTTTTTTTTCTTAAGGAAGAATTTCTTTCCCATTGAGCAATCTGACTTCATAAATCTTTGCAAAAACACAAAAGGGAGAAATTGGACCTCCAAAATGACAATTTCAACATGCTAGCCTTCAAAGACAGGCACCTTAAGAAATCCAAAGGATAGGTCTTGTATACATACTTGGCTTTGGCTCCATGGTTTAGCACAACAGCAATTTTTGTGTGGAGTTAGATGTCTCAACATAATGGTCAACTAATTTGTTATTTATGCCCTTGTTATTTATGCCAATATTTTCTATGGAAAAAATAACTCTATTTACTTATGTGCATTAATTTGAGGCAGGTTTGTGGGGGAGGATTCCTTGAAAATCACCATACACTAAAGGCAGCATCTTTCTGTAAGACTAGTCAGATACAGGAGAAATTGGGCAGTCTTTCAAAATTAAGGCTGAACATGACAGATAGGGGCTAGCATCAGGTGGGAAAAGTTACACAGTGTTCTTGGAGCCTGGTGATGATACTGTACTGGCTAAGCTGGTACACTTAGTTGGTGCAGTATGCTACAAGGACATTCAAATTAAGCTCCTTTTTACAGTGCTGAAAGGACATAATGTGATGCAGGCTTCACAAAACAAACTTTTATCAAAAATGAAATATCAATTATTAGAATTCTACCCAAGCCAGCAGCTTGATCTGGTGGGAAAATCCAAGGCAGCAGGCTCTAATAACAAAGCCTTAGGCTGGGAATCAATAATTCATTCTGGTTCCACAGCTAAGTTATGTAACCTAAATCATGACATTTGTGTTCTTTTGTCCTCAGTTTTCTTATCTGTCAAATGAAGGCGTGAGTCCATATGACCCCAAGTTCCCTTTCAAGCTTAAATATAAATGAAGTTTGTAAAATAGTCTCCAGCCTCACCTCAATTTTGTTAATTGCTAAACCATAAAGCATTTTTAAATGTTTGCCCAGGACTAATTGTTACCCTCTCTGAACAATTTGGCAGATGATGATCCCACGGCAGATCATGAGGGCTCCAAAGACAGTAGAGAACAACTTGTTATAAAAATTTACCAAATTCTTTATATTATTAAGGAACTGTCCAAGCCCAATCATGACTGGATATGAAAGAGCTTGAGATTAACATCCACAAAGATGCCTTCTTCCAGACATCTTTATCTTTTGTGGAATCGTGTCTGGGTTTTCGTAACAAGATATTCAAAATATTCCACCCACTTTCCATGGAATTGTTAAAAGGTTTAGTCAGATATGAAGCAGAGATCAATTCACCAGCCTTTTCTACCCAAGTTATTCGCTGCTTGTGCGCCTCATGAAATCTACCCTCTTCTGTTTTCAATATCCTTTTGGAATGAATTTCCCAATGAGGGACTTAGGGGATTGCATGCTGCAAAAGCACAGAGGTAGAGGGTCTGCCCTAAGGTGTTCCGTGTCACTTTCAGCAGCTAGTCAATGTTGAGCAAAAAGAAACCAGACAAGAGATGAGGAGGAAAAGAGGTAGAGAGAATAAACTCACAAATTGAGAATCTGGTCAATCTGCTCCCTACATTGAGTAATAATTCTATAATAAGGAACCCTGTTGCCCACTAGGCTCCTTAACTGAATCAAAGCTCCTATTTTTGTATTTTTCTGCAGGACCTCACTGCTGAGAGGTTTATGTTCTAAACTAGCAATTTCCCTGAATCAACTGGTGGAAATTTTCTAATTTGCATTAGCTCTAGTCTAGTCCTGGGATCCTGTCCAGTAAAACAGGAACAGGAGAATTTGCATTTGGGCTCACAGATTTTTCACAATTTAATCAGCAGATGAAAAAGAATCATCTTGCAAAATGTGCATTATCTTTAGATAGTCCTTAGCTGTCAATGACCAAACTTTTCAAGGATCATATTTGACAATAAGCAACATTTGCTTCACTCTACAGCTGTTGGAGAGTAGCCATGTTGTAAGAACCTAATAAGAAACCAATGCTGGGCCGGCCCTGTGGCTTGGTGGTTAAGTGCGCGCGCTGCGATGCTGGCGGCCCGGGTTTGGATCCCGGGTGCGCATCGAGGCACCACTTCTCCGTTCATCCTGAGGCCGAGTCCCACATGCAGCAACTAGAAGGATGTGCAGCTACGACAC